CTGTTTGAACTATGAAGCACTTCTTATATTTGTCTTAGATTTAACAGTGCTCAGCTGTAGTACATTTCTTCATAGAGCAGCCCAAGCCACAGTGCCTGCTGTGCTGCTGCTTGTTTCCTGCCCTTGGGTGGCTAACAGATTTAGCTGTAAAACTTTATAGCAGTGCTAGCTGCAGTTTGAATGGAACATAGCAATACAAGCCTTTTGGCCTGCAGGTTTCCTTGTACTCCAGATCTTAAAAAAATTGATAATTCGTAAAACTATTCCAACACTTTTAACAGACTGAAAAAAGGTCCCCCCCTGTAATGAGATTGAGGCTTTTGTCAATGACGAATAATAATCTTACAGCAGGAAGATGTTACCTATGCAAGAACTCCCTGGGTGTCTCCTTCCCTAAAGAAGTATTTATCAGGAATCCTACAGAAACAGATGAAGAGATTTTCACCTGTATTCAACCCCTCCCCATTTCCCTCCAGCCTGCGCTGGCTCAGCTCTGCTCCTTCCCCGAAGTATTGTCACCCCGCTTCCCTCCTCAGAGCATCCAAAGATAGTCCCTGTTTATGTTCTGAAGGAGACGACTTGTGTCATTTGTAGTTAATGTGAGCGTTAAAACTTCCATTATTCATGGGTTTACAGATTGATTTTTTTTTTTTTTCTCCTGCCAAACAAGTGTCCTCAGCTCCTCCTTTTGGTAATAAGTTTCTGAAATAAATAATGCACTGTGTTTTGGCTGCTTAATAGCTTTCTGACTACACCAAAGAGTGTGTAATTATGTAGAATGCCATGTGCTATCAAGCTCAGACAATATCAGTGGTAGTTAAGCCCACAAGACTAACATTTGAGAACTCTGTTCTTCTTGATAACCAAATAGTTTTTCATCTTCTGTACCAATACCCCAACAAATTGATAAGGTAATTTGTGACAACAAAGACGGTGAAGGATCTAGAGGGGTTGAGTGGAGGGACATAGGAGGAAAAGCTGAGGTCCATGGGTTGCTCAGCCCAGAGCAGAGGAGCTGAAGGGAGGCCTGCAGGCAGCTGCAGCTCCTCACAGGGAGCAGAGGGCAGCACTGAGCTCTGCTCTGTGTGACAGCGACAGGGCCCAAGGGATCAGCAGGGAGCTGTGCAGGGGAGGGGCAGGCGGGGTCAGGGACAGGGTGTGCACCAGGGGGTGGTGGGCACGGCCCTGAGCTGCTAGGGCTCAAGAAGTTTCTGTACAGTTCTCTCAGACATACTGTGTAAGTTTTAGGTAGTCCTGTGCAGTGCCAGGAGTTGGACTTGATGATCATTATGGGTGCATTCAAACTCTGGGTATTCTATAAAATATTTTACTTGGTGCTTATAACTAACTGGCCATCATAATCACATGTATAATCAATGAATATACAGATGTTATAATTATGAAATAAACAAGAGGGTTGGGCTAAGCAGGTTGTTATACAAAAGAGAATAAATAAAGTGCTTACATTTGTTCTGGGCTCACTGTAAAACTCCAAGGGAAGGATCTCCAGCAGAGATCCTTCCCCACTGGCAGTCAGCTCTTAAATGGGTCTAGGAGAGGTGCAGCCAGGCTCCACCCCTTCCAGCAGCCCAGGTGAATTGCCTTCACCTGTGCTCCCAGGGCTGAGTCATTGCTCGCCTCAGGTGATCAGTCAGAGGTTCAGGCCGTGATTCAGTAGTTCCCATACACCACGTATTAAAATTTAGGCATGCTACAAAAGAGGTCACATCTTGAGAACTAAAAGGAGTGTTTGCTAGGAGTCTGTGTGCTGCTACAGATTTTTATCACAAGATCTCTGTGTCTGGAGGGTGCCTCAGGACAGACAGTACTTGGTGGGATGGATCTGGGGCTAGGAACCATGCTGGTCATTGTTATGGCTTCCCATGGGAGCAGAAAGGGCAGCGGCCTATGATCTCCTGTGCTTGGATTCAGCACTTAGGGATTTTATTCTTATCCAGCATCCAGAAAGATAAAAAGAAGGAAGCTTTAATGGAAATATGAGGACCATGGCTTTGCTTTCCTGTCTGCCCTGAGAGTTCAGGAGCTCTGGAAAGCAGTGACCTTCAGTAAATCTCCCGTGTTCATAGCAGCTTTGACTTTACCAAATGCTGTAAGAACCATTTTTCTGTTCTCGGAGAAAAGCTTCTGAAATGACAGCAGTGATGTGTACAGAACACTCATTCCATGCTCCTGTAAGTGCCTGTCTACCCTGCATGGATGGATTGAGGCCGGTTCTACCCAGGTGCAGAAGTTTGTGTTGGAAAAACAGGTCCCATCCCTTGTCTCATCCTCCTAACAGCAGCTGAGATTTGTAGCTTGTTCTTTCAGGGCTTCCTGCTTGTACCCACAGGCTGCTCCTTGGGCCTGCCTCCACCCTGAGCTTCAGTGATATGAATTCCATGGTGTTTTCTAGGGGGGAAGAAAACTTCTGTGAGTTTCCTAGTATGCAGGTTGTGCTTCTCTCTCTTGTCTGCTAAATGCAAGTGGCTGTGTCTGTGGGGCTTGGATATGTGCATTTTAGGCAGATGGAAGCAGCTCTTCAGCAGCTTGTGTGTAGTTAATGAAAGGCAGGTCCTGCTGGACCGTCTAATCTCCTTCCACGTTCAGGTGACTTGGTTGGTGGATGAGGGAGAGGCTGTTGATGTAGTCTGCCTAGACTTCAGCAAAGCCTTTGTCTCCCATAGTATTCTCCTGGAGAAGCTTGCTGCCCATGTTTTGGACTGCTACACTCTTTGCTGGGTAAAGAACTGGCAGGAGGACCGGGCCCAGGGAGTGATGATGTTTGGAGTTAAATCCAGCTGGTGACTGGTCACAAGTGGTGTTCCACAGGGGTCAGTGCTGGGACCTGTCCTGTTTAAAATCTTTATCAGTGATTTGGATGAGGGAATTGAGTGCACCAACAGTAAGTATGCAGAAGACACCAGCTTGGGAGGAAATGTTGAATTGCCTAACAGTCAGAAGGCCCTATTGAGAGATCTGAACAGGCTGAATAGTTGGGCTGAGGCTAGTGAGATGAAGTTCAACAAGACCAAGTGCTGGGTCCTGCACTTTGCTCATAACAACCCCAGGCAGCACTACAGGCTTGGGGCAGAGTGACTGGAAAGCTGCGCAGAGGAAAAGGATTTGGGCATGTTAGCTGGCAGCTGGCTGAATGTGAGCCAGCAGTGTGCCCAGGTGGCCAAGTAGACCAATGGGATCCTGGCTTATATGAGAAATATAGTGCAGCCAGGAAAGCAGAAGGGAAGCAGAAGCAGGGAGGTGATTGTCCCTTTGTATTTGGCTCTGATCAGACTGCACCTCAAGTACTGTGTTCAGTTTTGGGCTTCTCACAACAGGAAAAACATTGAGACCCTCAAGTTTGTCCAGATAATGGCAGCAAAGCTGTGAAGGTTCTGGAGCACAAGTTTTTTGGGGAGCAGCTGAGAGAACTGGCGTTGTTCAGTCATAGAAGAGGAGCCTCAGGGGAGACCTTATTGCTTTCTACAGCTGCATGAAAGGAGGCTGTGGTGAGGTGGGGGTCAGCCTCTGCTGCCAGGTAACAGCAGTAGGATGAGGGAGAATGGTCTCAGGTTGTGACAGGGGAGGTTCAGGTGGGACATAAGGAGAAATTTATTTTCAGAAAGAATGGTGAGGGATTGGCACAGGTTGCCCAGGGTGGTGGGAGAGTCACCATCCCTGGAGCTGTTTAAGGAAAGTATCAGTAGTACATAAGTATATGTAGCAGTTAGTGTGCAATATTGGTGATAGGTGGATGGTTGGATCAGTTGACCTTTAAAGGTCTTTTCCAATGTTTATGATTCCATGGTTGTTTTTTTTAAGCTTGAGAACTTTTGTAGCTTTAAAACTGTAAAGGAATTGGATTCATTTGGAAATCAGTCTCCTGGTTGGCTGAATACTGTTATGGTCTAACTGATTTATTTTTACCTGACATTAATTTAAGTGCACATATTGTTTTCTCCTTTACAATAGCTTTGAGTGCAGCAGCCCACATGGGTGTAGGGACACTCGCTGTGATCTGTGCAGCTCTGGTTTGATGGTGATGTCCAAACAATTTGTCCAAACAGCCTGTTTGGAGCACTGTTTGGAGTACAATTTAAATACTTGGGATAGTGATGTAGGCTCCTCTTGCATTTTGCTTTTTTTTTTTTTTAAACCTTTCCCTGAAGAAGTTACTAATGAAAGGCAGCTTGCCAGAAGCTCAGGGTCCATTTTGCTGGAAGTTGTTGAAGCGTATTTTTTTTCCTCCTTTAAAAGAGGAGGCGTGTACTTAAAATCTACACATGGGGCAGGGGGAAGCTGGAAGGTTGCTTGTTTTCTCTCTCTTGTCCCCAGATGTACGCTGTGAAGCAGAGAGCTGTGGGTGCCACGTTCTGTGCGTCACTTCAGCTGCGCAGTGTTAGCGTCCTCAGGCAGCTTCAGGAATTACGTTCTTCTAAGCTCTTTGTGGTTTAAGTCCATGGTACCTCAAATGTTCATAGCATGAGTGACCAAAGTGGATTTGTTACTACCAAAATCAGTGGTCTCGAATGTTGTAGTATTTTTCTTTTGTTTTCTCATACTAGCTGTTAAATGATGCCCGCTCTCAGAACAGAAACGGTAACGTTTTCTTTTTGCAGACTGGAGGAAAGAAGCTTCTCTGCTGCATGCTTGGAGTTCAAAACAAATACTAAAATATAGTTCTTTTTGGATTTTTTTTAACTAACTTTAGTGTTTTTTTCTAATTTTCTTGTTTAATTCTGCAATAAAGATGGCTTCTGGTAATGGGCTGTTCTGTAATGTGTGCTGTTACTTGGCATAATCAGTTACAAATGATAGTTTAATCTTGCAATATCAGTTGAGTAAATTTTTGGCTTTTAATATCATAGTACTTATTATAAAAATAACGAAACAAATTGTAACAGAGCTACTGTCTGCTACCAAATTGGTAAATGCTTTATAATATATTAAACTGAGTATGTGATGAACTAGCTAACTTTCTCATTTCATTTTGACTTCTCTAGAGAAGTTGGAGGTTGCACCACCATCTCCAGGACAACTGAGACACGGTAAAATAAGAGTATTTGCTGAATGTGGTTCAGTACTGTGCGGTCTTTGTGGTCGAGTTGCTTTGTCTCTCTCCTATGAGCTGTTGGTCTGTCCTCATCCCCATACTACTGCAGAGTAGGAGAAAACCAAAGCAAGCACTTGCAGTGCTTTGTTTCATAGCACCTCATCTGGTGAGAGAATTCCGTGCTATTTAACAAAAGTAGGACAGAAAGCCCAAACAAAAGAGCACTGTTCAAAGCCAGAAGCAAATGCTGTTGGTCTAAGCCAACCTGCATTGGTTCTGTAGAACCTTGAAGATTTTTGTTTTCTTTTTAAGCTTAAAACTATTGACTCGCTGTGAGTTGCACAGATGTTCAATAAACTGAGATGCTGGGGCAAAATTATACAGAAATTGGAAGTAGACTTGGACTTCTTTATAAAATCATGTTTCTTCAATTCTTCTCTTCCAAGTCATTTTATTTTTATGACTTCAGACTCTGTCAGAGAGTAAATGCATGTAGTCAAATATTTTCTACTTTTAGGTATTTATGCTTATATATTTTTTTTCCCCTTGATCAGTGGGGTTTTGTACACTCCATGGATTCTAAAATTCTGTCAACTTCCCTGCAAATGTGATCCATGGTACAGCTACGCACACACATTTTGAAAGCCTTTGGCATCTATTTGTGTGCTTTTTTTGCTGTTAGCTTTTTGGGTTTTTTTGTCCTGCTATTTAAAAAGAAAAGTTAATACATTCCATGCCTTAGTCTTTTATGTGTACATTCAAGAAGGTATATATATTATTGGAAGGTTGTTAGAGAAGACCATACATGTTCAAATACCTGAGCATGAAATGTCTTGTGTGACATCAGCTTTTGCGGTAATGGATTCATGGTGTTTTTTAGAAGTAAACCTAGAAGAGGGCCCTGCTGGTTTCTTCTCACCAGCTTGTGAAGTTCATATACTCTTCTTTCTTCCTGCATATGTTTGCATCTCTGAAAGTTTATAAAATGTGATTATTAATCCTATCTGAAATAGGGGAAAAACTAAATAGCTGCATTTTGAATTTAAAAAAAAAAAAAGAGTGAAAAAAAATTTCCTAAGCTGTGTTTCTAGTCAAGTAGTCTGTCCTCCATGCTATATTTAGTATGCTAGCACCTGCAGGCAGTGCTCTGCAAATTCGTACCCCTCTTCTCAGAGAGCATGTAAATTAAAAGTTGAGAGAAAAAAAATGGAGTAGAACAAAAAGGAATGGTACAGTGATACTGTGCTGGTTAGAAATTATTCAGACTATGTAAGTAGTCTTGTGAGACCTCTTGGCAATCTTTATTGATACTGCAGAATGAATTGGAAGGATTGTAAATAATATCAAAGCTTGTTAAGTATCAATTTATTTTTTTACCTACTAACAGACATATGTGGCTTTCATCCAAAACTGTACAGGAATTTAGAAAGAATAAGTTACTTCACATGGTTCTTCACAAGCCATTAATACGACTTGACTTGCCAAGCTTGCCAGAAATAAAAGCCAGACACAAACAGAGGTAGTGATTCTTGCTGTGTTGCCTTTGTTTCTCTTAATGGTGATATTAAATTCACATTTCAGTTGTGTGTGTGTACTGGTGAACCCATTATAAATATGATCTCTTTGTTACTTATTTTTTAGTGTTCTTCCACAATGCATTACCTTTTGTAGGGTTTGGATTTTTGGATAACGCAATTATGATTGCTGCGGTAAGTTCATTATTTAATTCCCTAATCAAGCCAATACTGTTTATATTGTACTAAATGAGAGCTTCAGGAAGTCTTCTTTCCTTTTGTATCAGACTAACTCAACTAGTTTCTGCTCTTAATTTTTCCATTAAAATTTCCGTGCTCTGTTTTGACTTTGCAGAATGCAAAGTGTTGTTTTATCATCTGAAGGCCAGTCTTGAAACAAATTTTACTGAATTAGGAAGAAACTTGTTCTTCTTCAAATCCATGCTTCAAGATACATTTATGATCGTGTAGTTGATGCAGTTTTGTATCACCTAATTCCAATGTATTTATATCTAGGTCTTCAGTGTTTTTTTACTCGCAGTGGTGCAAGCATAGTTGGTGTTGATGCTCATTTGTATTGATGTAGCATGGTGTTGCTGAGTAATGAATGCTCTTTAAATATTTTCAGTTTATTTGGAAAATGAAGTAGGCTGGTGAAACAGGAAGATGATTCAAGACCAAATATGCTGTTCCTTGGGTGGAATTATAATTGACAATGTAATGTTAATCATGGGATAACTCAGGCGGGAAGGGACTGCAGGAGCCACTCTGCCTCTAGTCTTGCTCTTGATTTGGACCTTTTTGGGGTCTTTAATGTCTTGCGCAAAGCAGGATTGGCTGAAAGATCAGACCAAGATGTTCATGGTTTTATTAGGTGGAGTAATTTAGGTGAAAAGCAGTAAGGGCAGAGACTGTGCAACCTGTCTGGGCTGCCTGTTTCAATGCCTGACTGTCCTCATTGTGAAAAACACTTTCATATCCTGCACAACATCCTTGACTTTAAATTGGAGAGACGTAAGTGTGACAGATGGACCACTTGGTGGGTAAGGAATTGATTGCATAATTGCACTCAGAGTTGTGGTCAGTGGCTTGATGTGCAGGTGGAGGCCAGTGATGAGTGGCGTTCCTCAGGGGCTGGTTTTGAGATTGGTGCTATTTAACATTTTTGCCAGTGGCACAGACAGTGGGATTGGGTGCACCCTCAGAACGTTTGCTGGCAACATCAAGCTGTGTGGTGCAGTTGACGTGCTGGAGTGAAGAGATGCCTTCCAAAAGGGAACCTGACAGGTTAGAGAGGTGGACCTTTGTGAGCATCATGAAGTTTAACAAGGCCAAGTGCAAGGTCCTGCATCTGAATTAGTACAGTCTCAAGCACAGAGAGCAGACTGAAGGATTCAGGGGGTGTCAGTGGATGTAAAACTAAATGTGAGCTGGCAGGCCAGAAAGCCAGACATCCCCTAGGCTGCATCAAAAAAAGTATGGCAGGCAGGGTCTGAGGGGTGGTCATTCTCTCCTACTCAGCTCTCATGAGACCCTGGAGTATTGTGTCCATGTCAGGGGGGCCGTAGGGGCATGTAAGAAGGGCATGGACTTGTTGGAGTGGCTCCAGAGGAGGGCTGTGAAGGTGCTCAGAGGGCTGGAGGGCCTCCGTGAAAACGGGCTGAGGGAGCTGGGCTTGTTGAGATTGGAGAACAGAAGGCTCTGGGTAGACTTTACAGCGTGCTTCCATTACATATAGGGGAGCCTACGGGAAGGATGGGGGGGAGACTATCAGGAAGCGTGGTGATAGAACAAGAATTTTGACCTAAAAGAAGGTAGTTCTAGATTATATTTAAGGAAGAAATTCTTTACTTTGAAGTGGTAAGGCACCAGAACAGATTGCCAAGGGAAACTGTGGGTGCTCCATCCCTGGATGTAGGAGTTCAAGGCCAGGTTGGATGGGACTGTGAGCAGTCTGCCCTCATGGAAGGAGACCCTGTCGGTGGCGGGGGGATTGGACCAGATGGTGTTTAAGGTTTTCTTCATCTGAAAACATAAAGGAGATATGACACTACATTTTGTCTGTTTGCTCAGTATTTCTGGAAGTTTGCTTTCACACAGAATCACAGGATCACAGAATTGTAGGGGTTGGAAGGGACCTCCAGAGATCATCGAGTCCAACCCCCCTGCCAAAGCAGGTTCCCTACAGCAGGTCGCACAAGTAGGCATCCAGGCAGGTCTTGAACATCTCCAGAGAAGGAGACTCCACCACCTCCCTGGGCAGCCTGTTCCAGTGCTCCGTCATTATGTTAAGAATTAAGAGTAAAGAAAATGGTATGCAGAAATAGAGATTACTGTTTTAGCCATTAGGTTGCCATTATGAGGTAATGTAAAATATTAAAAGCCTAACTGAAGTAGCTTCTTGTTGTAGGGGTGATGCATATGCTGGGAGAATAAGAGCTATGCAGATCTAATAGAAGTAATGTCCATTTGTCCTTTCAATTTTGACATAAGCAGATAAGTGATACTTTACCAATTGAATTGATACTCTATTTTAAATCCATATCCATCAAATAATGAGAACTCTTATTTTTCAGGGAACCCAAATAGAATTGTCCATTGGAGTTGTCCTAGGAATCTCAACCATGGCAGGCAAGTAATAAAAATGGAGTATGCATAGACTGATGTGACACAGTCTTGTATTTTAGATTGAAAGTAGGCCACAGGGCTTGAAATGGCTCTTCTTTAGTCTTGAAGCAGCAGTCTTTCATAATAAATAAGAATGCGTTCTATTTGCAGAAATAGGATTTCATTTCAAATCCATTCTGAAATTCTTGGGGTTTATTTGTTTGTTTTAATCTAAAAGTCCAAATCCTGGGTCACTTAGAAAAGTACGTTTGCATTTCTGTAATGGAACTGCTTTTAAATTCCCCGAGATCTAATGTTAATGTACCTATTTGTGAGTGGCTGTTTGCTTGCAGTGCTAAGAGCAATGTTTGATGTCCCTCTGCTGTGGTGTCCGGTGTTCTCAGTGATTTTCCTGCCTCTATGCAAGGTGCAGAGGCAGCTCTGCTCTCCAGCGCTTTGCTAAAACTAATGAGCTCTGCTTCACTGCTTCTGTGCCTTGGCAGTGTGAGAGGGAAAAACTGCTTATGAACTGCAGGTGTGGCATTGCTTGAAAGCACACAGATAGCTTGGATGGAAGTTTGTACAGCAGAACAAGTTAATCTTCTGGAAATTTGCAGCTCTCCATTGCAATGAAAGACAGTCACAAGCAAGAGTATATCTTTAAGATCTCCTGTGAAATCATGTATTTTAAATGTGTAACTTTAAAGTGTTACATATTCAATTGCATATAATATTTATTCCAAAGCTGACACAGTGTATAGAAATGATGCCTGCTTTTGAATTGCTGAACAAAGCTGTATATGCTCTATTTCTAGTGCTTCTGTGCCTCTCCAGGCACTGCAGGGCTTTTTTGGTGTGCAGTATTAGCTGGTGAAGCTCAGCTGTGTGTGGCCATTGTTGGCTCTGAAAAGTTTTTATGCCTATTTCCAAGTCATCTTTTTGCATTTGTGAAGTCCTCATGTAAGCTGACAAAAATGTCGCTATTCTGCTGCTGTTATTCCAGGTTGTAATGAAGTCAGAAGATAAGCTCAAAAATAAAATTTCTTGTAGTTTTCTCTGCAGTGTGTACTGATAAGAGCCAGGGCCAATAGCAGTGGGTGTGGAAGGATGTTGGTTGCTTTTATTCTGTATTAATATTTTGGCTTCTTCCCTCTCATCACCAGCTGCTGCTTTGGGAAACCTTGTTTCAGATTTAGCTGGACTGGGGTAGGTCTGAATTTAAGACTGTTTTTTACTCCTTTGTAACCAGTGTTGGTGTTGCTGAACTAAAACATACAAACTGTTGAAATTGTTTGTGTGTTTTTTTGTTTTTTTTTTTGGTTTCTTTTTGTTGGTGTGGGTGTTTTCTTGTTGGTTGTTTTTTTTTTTTCCTTCTCTAGCTCTAGAGTTGTGCTTCAGTAAACCACATGACGTTTGATTATATTATTGAGGCCAAAACTGCAGTGCTGCAGTTTTGAAACAGAGACTAACTCTTCCTATTACATCTTGTATATTAAGTGATAGCATTGGGATTTGGAATTGGTGTTTAACATGATTCAGTGCTGCCATGACAGAATATTACCTCATCAGGTTTTCAGATCTGAGCATGTAACAACACATGTCCTTCTGAGATACAGCAAGAATTGCAGATATAGTTGCTATATCTGAGAAGAAGGGAATAGCTTCAGATCTAAATGTATCTATTTGCTGCCAATAACTCAGTATTTTATTCTGTTGGATATAAGCGGATGCATTTCGCTTTTTGAAAGGAAATTTCCGATTGGATCCTAAAATAAAGTTGTTTCTTTCATTTTCCCTCTAGTTTTTTCTTCTGCAAATAAAAATAGTTATTACAGAAAAGGGTGAATGGTCTGCAGTGTTTTTCTTGCAAGGATTACTTGCAAGTAATGCACAGTAACATTAAAGCCATCTTGTCTTACTGTTTGAAGAACTTCTGCAGATACGGCATGTTAAATCAGTAAGAAAATTAATAGATTTACATTGATTGGAAAAGCGTTAGGAATTCAAATACTTCCCTGTATTTACCTCTCTGTGGCTTTATCAGTGTGCTGAAGGAAAAGCTATTTTTCAGTGCTTTAAATGGTTCAAAATCCTTTCCTGAAAACACTCTCCTATCCCAAATAATTTCTTCTTGGTTTCTAATTCTTCCAGTCTTGCAGGTTATGTAGAAGCTTTGGCTTCACGGCTGGGTCTCTCAATCCCTGATCTGACGCCCAAACAAGCTGACATGTGGCAAACACGTCTTAGTGCACACTTGGTAAGTAACCTGCAGGCACTCCTTGTGGGGATCCTTTTTGTTTTAACCAATACAAGATAGCTCCTTTTGTCACCTTTGCCATTAAGTATTTAATAGCTGCCAACACTGTGCAGATTTCCTGAAACGTTTGGTTGAGAGCCTGTATCGGCATCAGCAGAATGGATTGTTTTGGGCTTGGGCATTTTTTTGTATCCAGCAAGCCACAGGTGGCTGGTAGTATGGATGATCTCTGCAGTGACTGCATGTATGCTGTGCAGTTACCTTGCTTGAGCTCTGACTGCTGTCTGCTAAAATGCCCTCAGCATTACCTTTAGTAATTTAACCCCTATACGTTCTTTATCAAGTGCTCGTTAGTTGTGCATCTGTGCTATTACATACTAGTTTCTGTTGGTTTGTGATTAGTTTATATACAAAATTAACTTTTAGCTGAATAAACCTTAGCGTTTGAACAGTGTTCACTGCTTGGGCTTACCGTAACTTCTACAGTTCTGGGGCATTCACTTTTTCAGATGCATTTTCAGGATGATTACTTCGTGAACGTCAACTTCACCAGTAATAATGTTAGTTTATTTTGGTTAAAGAAATGGATTATTAGAAACAGTGTAAGGAAGCAGATAATTCTTTCACTTTGCCAGAACAAAATTTCATGTGGGAAAATCACTTAGCAGATTTAAGGGAATAGAAATAATGCTTTCTCAATAAAAGTTAGGAAAAAGTCTACTTCAAGCAGCAATACATGAAGGCATTGAGCAGGGAAGAAGTGGTATATTGTCAGTGGGCTGCCCTCTAGTCTGTCCAACCTACAAGCTTTCTTACTGGAAGCTGAGTCTGTGGCATGAGTCTGTCATTCTATGACAGTTTGTTCGCAGCACTTTTCTGTGTAAAGAGTTCTGAATGTCTTGGTCTCTTTGCTGGCACTTCTTTCCTGTCTTTTTATTATTTACTGCTGCATGAAGTTTCTCAGCACTATTCATTTGCTGCTGCCAACATGCCTTCAGACACTGTCTTTAATTTCTTTCCTCTCCTGTTAACTTTTATGTCTAGGTAGATTGTGAAATCTTTTCCAATTATTTATTTTTGTCTTCACCCTGTGCCTTTACAAACTGTCACGTTGCTCACTTCTGACCTTGATGATAATTTGCATTACCAGATTTAAGCGAATGCTTCTTGCAGTTGTGCCTTAATTTTGTTTATCCTTCCCCATCTTCCTGGCCATCATTCTAACCCTTTGAATCTTGAGCTCCTCGCTTATTTATCACACATGCATCTCCTGATGAGTCATTCATTCATCTACTTAGAATTGTCTTTTATCACACAGGATTATCTTTTAGCACAGGATTTCTTAATTTGCTGATTACACACACTTGTCTCTGTCTCACAGACTGTTTCAAGTCTGCATGCTTAGAAAAATGGCACTCCCTACCAAAAGCTAGAACAGAGTGTCCATTGTCTTGATTTTGGTGGTACTGCACACAAATAAGTAATAATTGATCAGTGAGAAACTTAATTTTTTCCCTCTTTCTCTAGGGTAAAGCTATTGGAGTGACCATTGGCTGCATTTTAGGAATGTTTCCTTTGTTGTTCTTTGGCGATGAGGAAGAAAAACTGGAAGAAAAAAATTAACGTTTTTACGAGACGTACACAGATGTAAACTAATGTACCTCAATTACTCAATTATGCTGTCAATATTTAGGAATTAACAGACAGTAAAAATGTATAGACTTGGGAACAAAACCTTCAGCATGTCATTTTATGGAAACACTAATTTATTGTGGCTTTGTTGTGTTCAGTACTTCTTTTTACAAGATACCATTTAGCTTTCTATTTAATGTACATTTTTGAAGTGTTTTCACTTATGGCAAATGATGTTTACCACTTCCCCTTTTGACATTATTCTTTAACAGATTATGACTTTAGTAGTCCACTGTGGATGACAGTAACACTCTTGAGTTGCGTATTGGTTGCTTAACAGATGTAATTGCATGACAAAAAATTTGCAGCTGTTCATCAGGTCCTTCAATACAGATTATTGAGGAGGTCAGTTATGAGCAATTTGAAGATCCCTCACTTGACAAGAAGGCTGAGTGCCCCCTCACCAACTCTCATTCTGCACTGCCTTTACATCAGGTATTTCAGTGATCAGCATCAATCTAATTTGCTTTCTTTATAATTCTGAATCTCTGAATTGTCATCTGAGGTGATCATTCTAATGCCCTGACCAAGGTAAGTGATTGCAGTGTAATATCCTTTCCAAGTTCATCTTTAGTAGTGTCTTAACTCTGCCTTCTGTACTTCTGTATTAATGTCTCTTCTTTCCTTTTTTCTTCCTGATAAACAATAACTTGAGAATTCAGTTGAGGTCTCCTTCAGCTTATCTTCCTGAGCTTCTCATGTATTATCGAAGAGTTCAGATTTCCTAATTCAAAAGCACTTTTTTCTTTCTTTCTTTAAAAAAGTTCTGTTTAAAGTGAGGCGTGAATGGCTGATGGGGGCTGCCGAGGCTGGGGAGCCTTTCAAGATACGAATGAGTATTGGCATTGCAAGTCTGTGATGGGTGGCTTAAACGAAACAATAAAATATTCATATGCTGTCAGTCTGGATTAGAGGACCTGGTTTGCAGATTATAACGTCGGATTTATGATTAAACTTTTTTTTTTTTGCTGTGAGACTTCTGAAAAAAAAGAAAAAAGAGAAAAAAAAATAAGACTTGAGGCCTTCTTCCTGTTCCTGCCTTTTGTTTTTGCAGTCTTATTTGATGTATTATAGATCTGACAGTGCAGTCACATGTAACTGTGCTTTTTTATATGTTCATAAATTATAATTACAATTATCAAGAGAATTTCAGGATCCACTTTGCCAAATAACAATGCTAAGCTGATAACTATTTGTTCAAGGGGGGCTTTCTTACCTCTTTCAATACCATTTGGAAACAAGATTAAAAGAGGGACAGCCTAGGCACTTTGAAAGTTCTGTCACTGGAATTGTTAGCACTTCTGAAACCAACAAATAAATGGTTTAAAAGAAAATTCCATCCCATGATTTTTATTTGCTATACAGTCTGATTGTAACCTGGACGTTTACAGAGCTCTCTGCTTATCTTTTGGCCATAAATCTGTCTTCTCTGTTCTAATTTCTAGAAGCCCCTTAAACAGCAGTGCTGAAACTTTGACACCAAGCTTTAATGAAGGTCACCATGTTATATCTCTTTGTGAAAAGCAGGCTCTGAAAACTTGGAGACAGTAGGCCTGGTAGCATATGCTGTCTTTTGTGTGTTAACCTAATCCTGACCAAACTGTAAAACTGAAAGAAGTCTCAGCTAAGCAAGAATAACACTAAATACAGAAGTGTTCTGGCTTGCACTTTCAAGGTGGAGAGCTTTTCTTTAAAAACAACAACAACAGCAACAACAAAGAGGGTCCTGTTAGAAGATAATGCATTTCCCAGTAGTGGGTTTACAGTATGTCAGTAATAAGGTTTTTTTGCTTGTTTTTTTTTGTTTTTTTTTGTTTTTTTAAGTTTCATTTAATTTTATTTTTTCAGACGCCCATGTTTGCCTTGCCTTAAGCTCTGACTTTTCTCCCTGTGTATTTCTGTTTCTGGTATGTTTCTAGAAAAACTGTATGTATTTTCTTTTCTTTTTTTTAATTGAAATGCACATTAAAACAATTTTGCATAACTTTTTTGCATTTTTTTTAAATGAGAATTCCAATGGTGTTTCCCATTGCAATACTTGGCATCTTCATTGGAATCTTTCACAAGCAGCCAAACCTCTTTCTTTGCTGTCATTCTAACTGGAGCAGTAATTTCATCACTCTTTTTCAAAGGTCTTAAGAATAATCAGCAGGCTGTGTCAGCTCTTGCTCTAGCGTTCTTTTTATGATGGCAATTGGAAAGCTCATGTACTATTGCTCAATAGTTTGTGCATGTAAATTGATGGCATTATATTGCTGTATGTCAACCTACTGTATTTCAACCAACGCCTTTAAGGAGAATTAATGAATACCATCAAAGAAATCAGTTGTGTTTTGATATCTATTTGATATTTATAAATGTGGTGGGTGACACATGATAAGAAACCTTGAGTGTTTCAGGTGCTTGTATGATGTTACAATCAAGGTGACTTTTTGGGTTTCAGTATTTGACAAATGAAAACTCATTTGAGAAACATAGTGGCTCAGAAGGTTGAGAGAAAGCCTTTGCTGGGGCCAAGGTGAAACCCTAAACACAGTAGGGGTGGTTTGCTTCACCTGTGGGATCTGCTTTTTTGTGGATGTGCAGTTGTTTCATGTGAAGTAGATTTGTGCCACATCCTAAGGTGTCTCCTGATAATGAAAGAATTCTTTTTCTGGTGTTTATAGTTGAAAGAAATCCCCATTGCTCTGATCACTGTCTTAAAAATATGTAACTGAAAAGACAGAGCAATAACAAAAGTCTCCTCTTTGTTTTCTGTTGTTTTCTCCTTCCTTAATAAAAGGAAATCAGACACTCTCAGAGTTACTGAGCAGCTTTAGTATTACTCTGTTTTTACTCTGTCAAGCTTGTCCTGAGTTAACAGGAGTTTTTCTTGTTAAAGGGCTGGTAGACATGAAATTGTGTTTATTTTAAAATACTGTATTTTATTGTAACTTAAAATGTAAGTGTATTTTCATTTTTACTGTATGTTATCCCTAGGGAGAAAGAAATGCATCTGATAATGTGGTTACCCAGTTCTACTTGCTGATATTTTCTCATTCGTGTACTTTTACATAAATTATTTGAATTCCAAAAATGTGTTTTGTATTGTCTTTAATTAAATTGCCAAACTTTCTGTAAACTTTTGAATTACAGCAGTTCTGTTCTGTTTCTTTATTAGACCACGTGCTGGAGGGGTCATTTAATGTCTTGTGGACATTTGGTCTCAATTAAGAAAGTGAGTTTATTATGTAAATTTTAAATGAGAGTCCCATTGTCACTGATGGAGGAGATTAGCACCAAGGAGTAGTTTACTTTTGTCCTGCCCTGTTTGGAGGAGAAAACTTCAGCAATTAAAATGTTTGTATGGTAAGTTAGCAGCATTTCTGATTCATATGAGAAGTTCTGTAGTAACTGAAGTTTGTATTCTTTTGAATTCTCCTGGACTTTGGAGCTCTCCAGTACTTACAGCTGTCACTAATCCAGCCAACATACTCTGACAATTTTATATGGTGTAGTGCTAAGCTGACAGAGTGGCTGTTCTTAAACTACAGGCCTTAATAAAGTTTTGAGGAGTTGTTATCCTGTGCTGTCTCTCTTATGGTTCTGGAGTATTTTGACCTAAAACATTAAGAGAATGGCCATGGAAAATCTAGGTTGCAGTTAGTGATCTTGTAATACAAGTTCAAGCTCCTGTTTGAGAGTTTTTATTTAATGTTTGTCAAGGCTTTTAACCTTTATCTCAGTGTTCAAAAAGGACCCTTATCATCTGGAGTGTCTTTCAAAATAGTATTGAGGGGAGTGGGAAGGGTTTGTGGTAAACTTGACTGCAGAAGTCCAGTCAAAAGCAGAAAGTTGTTTTGTTTTACTTTGAAAGACAACTTCCTCTCTTCACAGCCAAACCCACCCTCTAGGCAAATCTGTTCACTTCCTTCTCCAAGCCCCCACAGTGAGAGTGGTCAGGAGCATAGCACATCCGTGAGCAAGGCAGTCTGTGTGCCTTGCATGGGTTAATTCAGAACAATTACCTGGGGTAGCAATATGGAGTGCAGAGCGTTACTGTAGGATGTTCTCCTGTAAATAGATGATGCCAAGATAGGCTGCTTGCAGCAGACGAAGAGAAATGGCTGGGAATATTTATGGTTTAACAATCTTCACCTTAGTAGTCACTGAGCATCTAAGCAACTGGTTTAAATATAGATGCAGCTATGGATACTACTCCAGTCTTAAGAGTTACTCCTTCTGTCTTTGGGATGCACCTGTCAGAACAATTATAGAATCATTAAGGTTGAGAAAGGCCACTGAGATCATCTAGTTCAACTGCAACCCATCACCACCGTGCCCACTGATGTTCGTGATCTACTGCAGTGCTGTGATTTTCCTGTGTATGTGATTTGTACCAAATACTGTGTGCATAGATAATGCCTGTGGCACTGACAAGTGCAGCAATGATAGCTGCTTCCCTGTCTGAGCTATCTTTTATGCAGTAAATTGCAACACAGTACAGTAAAAGGAAATGGGAGGAGTGAACTGAAGATTTGAACCAGCTGTATGACCCAGTGCAGTTTGTACACCTTTGTTCGTGAGCTGTAAAGGCAGCTCTGAAGATTGATCACAACAGCCTTCATGATAACGTTGCTGTCTATAGCATACTGATTTCTGTGTCACTGATCATGGTCCTTAGTAATGCTGTTTAATGGTTACCATTGTAAAGGTTCTAGTTGTTTGGTAACAACTCCATCATAGGTAGACGGCCAGAACAGAGGTTTTTTGGCACATTTTCTTGGTTTCCTGGAGCCTACCAATAGCAGATTTGGAGGTGAGATGAGTAAAAAATGCCATTGTATCTCTGTGTCATTGCAAGAGTCAAAAATCTGTACAGGAAAAGAGGTTGCTGTGTGTCCAAACTTTTTCCTGCGTTAATAAAAAAGAATTTGGAATAGAAGTGCTTCAATGTGATAAATGTGTTTGTATTTTCATCTTTAAATTCTTGACCTATACTGTTGCAGAACAGCTATAGGCTGTCTCTTCATAAGTTTTAAACCTAAAAGCATTTGTAATGAGTTTGATTGTTCTGAGCAAGTCTTCCTGAAATACTACTTGAATCTAGGGGAAATGAAGTATCCCTCTCACGCTGTTTTTTCTCCTAAATACTGCATAGAACTTATGAGTGTCCAGTGGATAACTTGTCCAATGAATGTAAAGCCAACTCTTACTTGTGTTGGACTCAATGTCAACAGATAACTCCTGTTCACTGGCTTGTCTCAGTGATCTTCTGTGGATGAATCCAGCTGCAGTAGGAAGATGTTTTTGGATGGGATCTGGTACTGTTCACTGACTCCAGTTCCAGAAAGATTAAAAATCATGCAAATTATATTGTGTTGCCTCAGTCTAAATTCAGTTTTCAGTATTTGTATTTGAACTACTTTACAGAAATTGCTATCGAGTCTCTTCTTGCTGTGCTGTAATAGCGATCTCCTCCATTTTTCTTTCCTCAAAATCTTGATTCTTTGCATCTTGGAAGAAGCAGTGGCAGCTGAAAGGAATGAGATTTCTCTGTTTGAATGTGAAGGCCATTTATCTGGAAACTTAGATCTCTCTTCTGTGAACGGCGCTGCTTATTGAATCCTCTCGGGATCTTGTGTTCCAGGCTTGAGATGGCTCCACTTGCAGATGCTCAACACTTAAATTTAAAGGTAGTTTGTATTAGGTGAATGTCTGTCCTTAAAAAGTGAAAATGCTGTTCAGAGTGAGGTTTTAGAAGGTTTAGTATTCATGTAGCATCTGTCTTCATCTCTTATACTGGAAGTGGAGAAACAACACTTTACATGGTGTCCTGTTTAAGAAGAAAGGCTCTAGACGCTGACCATTTTCTGTAACTATCAGTTAGGTCCAAGGCATTTCATAGTTCCCTGTTGCAGGCTCCTTTACCTGGGATTTCATGACTTTATTACTGCAAGAGGATTGGGAGCACTTCTGTGTGTGTGTGTGCAAAGACTTGAGCTGCTGTGCAGTATCGTACCTCTTTGAAATTATTTACAGTTTTAAACCTGATGTATTTTCTTTAGTTTTGTTTTCTTGATACTGTGTATCAGTGATTTATCTTCCCTTATGAAAAGTGCCCTATGTTTTTGCCTGTAGGCTGTAAGTCATTCCAATCCTAATTATTACTGATGGATAATAATAGATTCTTTTCAAGTGGATTATGAAGTATGCTGAGTGTGGGACCATTAACTTGTTAGAAAACATGTATCCGAAGAGTTAGACTTGCTGCATTAGACCTAGAGCTGCTGCTCCTGTTGGGAAGAGGCCATCATTGAGCAGAATGGCAGTGTGGTAACAGGAACGTATTCTTGTCTGCGCAGCACTGCGGCTTGGGTTTGGCAGGGTGATCCCTTTGCACACTGGTGATACTTCTCTTTCGAGAAGATGGCTCCTGTGTTTGTTCCACATAGGAACGAGGAGGAAGTGGAGGAGAGTGCGATTCTGTCAGGTCTTTTTCCGTACACGGGAGTGCATAGAGCTTCTGCTGAAAGGTGAAAATAGAATGGTTTGAATTCGTGCTACTTCTCTGCTTTTCTCTGTGCCTCAGAGTGCTTTCAGCCTGCTGAGAAACTGGAAAAAAGAGCTCATGAGGCTTCTCTCCCTGTGTGGCTTTTCTGTACATCTCAGCTGTTTAGCTGCTGATATTCTACACATGGAGGAAACATTAAAAGGAGTAATGATAGTAACGTGTGCCCCTTTTGAACACAGGAGCTCTTGCATGAGATAAGTCCTTGCATAAGGAAAGTGATTACCGGTGGTTTATCTTTTCAGTACACATAAAAACTAGACGTTAAGGGAAAAGAGCCCATTTTTGTCATTTTTTTCAGAATGGATGCAGCTCTGCAGGTGTTCTGTTTCTCTTATTCTTGGTTCCCTCCCCCCCCCAGCCATTGCTTGTACCTCTTCATGCAGGAGCACTACAGGGTGCGGATTTTCTTCCGCCTGTTTTCACCTTTCACTAAAACCTGTGAGTGGCCGCAGGACTGGGAGAAGCTGCTTCCAGAGCCATTGCTTGTCGGTTAATGTAACAAGTGGTAATGCTGTTGGTGAAACACAATTGAATCTTGATTGTCTTTGATAGTCTTTTCCAGTTGATTTGTAAATGCAGTCATACAGTAAAGCATTCTTTCTGGGAAAGCAATTTATTTGGTGGGATCACATTAGAATTGTGAAGGTGGCAAGGTGTGAAATAGGGCAGTTGTTTTTGTACGTATTAAAATGAGAGGAGGCTTCTCCCAGTTGGCACTGGGAACCTGAACATCATTTAGAATAACTGTCTCCTTATCTCTGCTACAGATTAATGCATGGGCTCTGTTTTAGGAAATTAAAATGTCCTGGAAAACCCAAAATACAGCTGCAAGTCATATTTCTCCAGGTCGGTCAGATGATATGTTGTTGTCTTGTTGGCTCAGGCACCAATATCCTACAAGCTCCAAGGATCGTGCAAGTTAGAGCATTGCTGAAATGGCATTTCTCTGATTTCTATGTTGCTGCTGTACTTCTTCTGGGTTACGTATCCCACTGCCCCTTTACTATAGAATATACATAGGATGTCACAAGCATGCAGTGTCTTGACCAAAAATACAATGTTCATCCTTACTGTATGTTCTGTAAGCCATGGTGGCTCTTTGGAGTGTATTGTAGTTTCAGGCCTACCTTTTGCTCAGTTTGCAAAAGTTCAGATTTTCCTCGCCTGTGCCCTTTGCTTTTGATCCATTAAATTATGAATTGTGTGAATCACATGGTATGTGAAGTTGACTTTATTTCAAAGTGAAATCATCAACTCCCTGCCTGAAAACTAGTTTTTGTTGTAGAGAAGCCTAGAACTTTAATTGCAGTTGGAGTGGCTTGATGGCAAGGGCAGTGACAGGGAAACAAATGACATAAGACTTTACAGCAGGGAAGATCTCTTCTGTCTGATTGTTCTCCGTGACATTCTGTGTGGGTAGCAAATTACAGCTTTTGGTTTTCATTTCAGCTTCTGTGATAGAAAATGCAAATGCCGCGTGTGGCACAACAGCGGGGCTCTCTGTTGTAAATGACTATGCCTGA